TTCAACTTTTAATTTCAATTTTTCTCGCTGTATCTTTCTTCTCTCTCTCTTTTTTTCGTTTTTTATCCTATTAACTACAGAGTTAAAATATACCCTAACTTACTTAAATGGAAAAAAGCACTGCTAACTTACCTAAAGTCGATTGTTTTGCATGGGAGATGGAGGTGAGAAGATAGGTGCGTGTGATTGGTATCAAAACTAATTCATCCTACTAAACATATTTTTGTCCCATTTTCGCGAATTTCTACATATATCCCTGTCTCTATCTCTAATCTCTGTCAGTCATGGCCACTGGCACTCTTTTTTTCCCCCTTTCTTTTCTTCTTCTCGTCACATTTTTCTTTCTTCTTCTTCTTCTTATTAAACTCTCCTAACTTCCTACGTGATCCAACTTGGACTTGGTCTGAGCTGACTGACTGTACTGTACAGACTAGGGAGGCGACCATTGGCACCGCTCCTCTCCTGATCAATTTCATATTAACATTGCTACAATATAAGAGCCAATAGGCATAAAAACAGAAAGAGAAAATATAGATTAAATAGGTGTATAACATTTTGGTTTTATTAAATCTAAAATAAACCCTTCTACTGCCTTCCTTTTTTCCACAAGTCCCCTGGCCAAGTTTCCACTTCCCCCTTGGAACCCCCCCCCCCCCTTTCTTCTTTTTTTTTTTAAGCCCAAAATCAAAACATGCATATGAAATTGCATGAATAGAAAAGAATTTGTCACATTGCTACTGTGGAGTATCGCAGATAATTCCACTGAAAAGAAAAAAGGTAGATATTGACAAGAGCGAGACTCGAACTCACGCGGGTTTCCCCATACCGGATCAGGAAATTTCTTTTTTAGTAGAATTTCCAAGTGTTCACGTGACAACTTGAACGGTACGCCTTAACCACTCGGCCATCTTGTCATAGATTTTATTAGGGACTTGGACTGGCCAATATGTTATTTATTCATCGTCCCGCGGGGTGTGGTTAGCCAGCTCAGCAGCTCAGGAAACTGACTTCCTCAACTTCAATTCACATGCTTTCTAGCCCGAGCTTTACTTTTCTTAGCTGATTGTAGGAGGTAAACCAAGTTGTAAACCTCATATCATAATAACGGACTGGTGAAATATGAAAGAAAGATGGGCAAACGATAAGCACTTAGAAATCTATCCAAACCAAGGTTGTTTTCTGATTTTCATCTGCCAAAGTTGGGAGGCCCTGGTTGGGCGCCCTTCTATTGAACTCGAGGTGCAGGAAATGACTGACTGACCAGCCATGAGAAAGCCTATTTATGCGGCTAATTCATGTCAATATATTTTGTTACATCTTCCAGCTTGCTGGCGGTAAGGTGAAGCCGCCAGCGTGTGCCCCATGTTGCGCTATTTTAAGAGAGCGAAGTTCGTGATTCTTGATAGGTATGTGAAGATAATAGTATGATATGATTATGCTATGCTGTATCGCCAATAAAGGAATGCGCTGTTCGGGAGTGTAAGTTATCTATCACCAAAATTCCCTAACCTTGAACTCGGTGCTGCGTGATGTAAGTTGCTTTGTCTGCACAACAGTATATTTTCTTCTCCTTTATAGTAATACTTCAATCTGTCTGAGAGAATTGACGCTCCGGCATCTTCAAAATCAGGAAGGTTCGCTTCTTCGCGATAATTCCCCTTCATTTTCTCGGGGGATATCTGAAAGCTTCGCGGCTGGAATTTCTCCTATGCCAATCAACCCGCTTTTGTGGCACGAATGAATGAGTGCTGCGTACGCGGGGGTAAAGAGGCCGCACAGATCTCCTGCATCGCGGACTTTATTTCGAGGAGGGGCTCGAGCGGGCTAGCAGGAAACAAGGGAGGAGCGTATTCTAGATTTTCCCTTCCTGCAGCCTCAATTTCGGAATTCGAAGACTTGTTTTAGCAAGTTAATTAGGTAGTAGGTATCCCTGCAGACAGGTGACGATACATCAAGCGGAACGATCTATATAGGGGGGGGTGTGAGCCAATATGTAGTATTTATCTCACCACCATCCCCTGGCACCAGCCGGCCAAACAAATCAGAATTTATTTATTATACTGCGTAATGTTTTTTTGGGCCAGTTCAACTCCACGCAGCAACCCCAGGTGGGTTTCGACGAGGCCCGGCTCAAAAAGCAACCAACCAACATTGTCTTATCGCCTTGGCACCTAAATACTATTTGGGTACCAGGCACTATTATTACGAGAACTGATATATGCATAAATTTAGTGTGTTTTTGTTACTACTCAACAGCAATTCCAATCGGAAGGGAACAAAAAAAAAAAAGGCCCTTTTTTGGGCCGGTTTCAGTCCTAAGCAATAGGAGACAAGAGGGGGGAATGGGGCTTGCATTGATAAGGTTGGCATGCATTTTGCATCTAAACAACTTCCGAGGTGGTTTTCATCATCATCATTTTTGAGTAACCGGGCCGCTCACAGTGGACGAGCATAAAAGCAGGCAACCTGCGGAGGGAATGGGTGTGTATGTACTCCGTATGCTGTGCATGATAACAGGTTCTTGGCTCTTTATGAAAAAAAGAAAAGCAAAAATTAAAATAAAAAATATTACGAAAATATGTTGATAAAGAAGGGTTCCACGGGATGTGATAATATGTTTATTTCGGGTGTAAAATAGGTTCTCGGTCTGTGTCTGTGTCTTGTGTGTGCATGGCGTGGAAGTTTATTTTTTATTTTTTTATTTTTATTTTTTTTTTTTGTGATACTCAGGAACAAGAATTTAAAGTCCCATGGGCACAAAAAAGGAACAGAGAGAAACGCACCAAACAGAGGGGAGAAGAATATCGGGTGGTACAGTTGATTGATTCGCCCAAGGACCAGCTTTTTGAACCCAAGCTTGTTTGTTTGCAGCCCTAGAGTTTATCTATCTATTTATTTATTTATTTATTTATTATAACTGGCTCTCATTTTTCAGGTCCGGTTTGATTTTATGCTGAACGGTCAAACCAAAACCAAAACCAAAATCAAAACCAAAACCAAAGAGCAAAATCATCCATGGATCCAGTCCGGCTTCGTTGGGAGGAGGATGCTCTCAAGGCCCCGGCCACTGGAATTCGTCAACCCCCTCCTTTTTTTTTTTTTTTTCTTCACGAAATAATTATTGTTCGCTGGCAGCCAATTAATTGGCTTCGTAAAACCATACGCAGTAAAACCGGGGAGCCAAAAGGAACCCTCCCAGCTCTTTTTTGGCTGCTCCCCGCCATTTATTTGTTGGTTGGTATGTGCACGCTTGAACGGGGGTTTCCTTCTGCCCAATTGTAAACCAGGAAGCATGCACTTAAATAAAATCTCAAGTAGCTACCCTCCAGACAGAGGGGGAGCTGAGCTGGATAGGGTCAATAAAAAATTCGAAGTTGTATTTAGTAATAATATAGAGCTGTTCTCAAGCGTCGATTGGGTTTGATCCTGCATAGTGCAGTGCGTAGATTAGATATATCTATCTATTCTGATGCCCTCGACTTTGAGGCTGATGCTTAGGACCTTCGATCCCAATTTATCCTTACCCCCCCCCCCCCCTTTCCCTGCTCAGTTTTAAAATTGGAAGAATTGGCCGTTTGTTTAAATATTCTGTAGATGAATCCCATATTACATGACGGATCGCCCAGTCGCCTCTCCCTGGATTTGCCCGTCAGTTGCTCGTTCCCCCGGCTAGATAGGGGGATTTTGCCTTTTAATTCGCTATTTGAAATTCTCGAGCCCAAGGGGGGAAGGCGGGGAGACCGGGGGGGGGGTGTTGTTGGTGGTTGGTGGTTGAGCCACCAACAAGGGCCCAAATAGCGGGTGTCAGGCAAAAATGTCAGGCAAGCCCGTTCAAGCGTAAATAACGCGTAAAAAATAATCGCCCTTAAAGATATCCCCAAGAATCGGACCAGGTTCGGGATGGAACCTTTTTTTATTTTTTTTTTCCAGCCACAGTTTTCTGCTTTTCTCTCTTTGTCGCTTTTTTCTGCAGTTTGGGCCCCGTCTAAACTCGATTCCCGCCTAGTTCGTTATTATTCCCCATCTTTTTTAATAAACTTTTCATGCATACTTTCATAGCCGTCCCTCGAAAATCCCCTTGTCTTGCCCTGTTTCGCTCCTTGAAGCGACCCCCCCCGGAGCCGTGAGTGGCTGCTTGAAACGTCAATCCCTGACTCCAATCTTGTTTCTGTCCTTGGGGGGCTGCTGCTCGTCGTTAGTTCGCTGTCGCTGCCCACCCCGTCCTCCCAATCCCCCAATCCTGACTAAACTGTATCCCTCGCTACAACAGCAACGCAACAGCAACATCTCCTAAAATAACCAGACGACAATCAATTCTTTTTCCTCTTCCATCTGCTGTATCTGCCCCTTTTCAATACCCCTTCATCTCTAATTCGCATCGTCCCATCCTTCGCCGTCTTGTTTATCTTTCCGGGGGGCGGCTGAGTGCGAGAGAGCGTCGTTTGTTGAGTTGTGTGTGTGTGAGTGTGAGTCGTGTGTTTAAATAGTCGTTGTCCAGCCCAGGGAGACAGGATTGGGTTTTTGTGGAAAGTCGCCTGTTCCTGTTCCTGTTCCTGTTCCTGGTGGCCTGGAATTCCAGCGACAATCCCGTTTCTATTCCTCCATTACTCCATTCCTCCATTACTCCATTCCTCCTCCCTTCCGCTCATCCATCTACCTGTATCCATCTACGATACTACAAGTTCTAGAAACCTGACCATCCAGGTTTCTTGCTATTTTTGACAGGTCTGACACGGAACCGGGCGACTTCTTCTTCCCACCCTTTTTGGTGACAAACAACGGGGGGAAGCGCTCCATCGATCCACGATGGGATCGACTCAATTTGGCAATTTTCACGTAAATAAATCCCGTCTCTCTCTCTCTACATTGAGACCCTGTCTACTTTTTTACTTCGATTTTTACTCACAACTATTATTTTGGGTGTTGCAGAATTTTTGTCGAGACTCGACCCTCCCAGTATGCAATGTATGTATTATTATTTGCGCCGCATCCGTCACGGCTACACCTCAATGAACCGGCCGTGTCATAAAAGAGAAAAGTCGACCTAAAATCAGGAACCAATGTTAACAACCTCTCAATTATCGATACCCACAGCTTTTTGTTGCAGATAACCAGCCTCCAAATGCGAAATTCGGAGGATGCGCGCTCACGGGAATCGCTCTGAGTGGTGACAGGAACCTGGCGAACCTAGGTACAAATATGAACTCAAATTCTCTTCTCTACACCGCATTCTATGTATGTACCTAGACAACGACTAACGATTTATCACTCTGCGCAGGATCGATCCTTTTTGCTGTAACCGCTATCCTACTCGGTGCGTTCTTAGTATGGAAGTCGGAACTCAAGAAAGCCGCTGTGGGAAGAAGGTGCGATATAATCCCACACCCTCCGCCGCGATGCGATTCGGTTGAAGTGAAATCAATAGGGTGGAGAGGGGGATATGAAATAAACTAAAAAATAAAAAAATAAAAAAGTGACTAACCTCAGAACTCGGGACTTCATTTAGGGAAATTCAAATATTCTTAATTGGATACATGATAATTCAGCTCTGCGAAATCTTTACCATTGGCGGACTTCCCGTCGCTGATAATGTCAGAAAAGTATGTCTGAACCAACCCACATATTCCACGACCAACGGATGATAAAACTAACAGCGCCTGCTACGTTTCAGGGATTTACTGCCATCCACCTAGCTGCCATCTCCGCGACGATCTGGGTATTACTTCTTAATGCGGTCGTTGGATTCCAGTTACTCGATGACGGCACTCCAGTCTCAGTCGGTCTTCTTCTCGCTTCTGGAGCCATCGTGTTCATAGGCACCGGTTACATCGCGCTGGACACTGGCTTCCGATGGACCGGCCATTTCGACCCCAGCCTGAACGGTAATAATCGAAATCTCGGCCTCTACGTCCTA